TGTAACATGAAGTTGTTTCATTTTTGTTTATAGATTATTGTTGGTTTTTGGAGTCTGTTATTATTTTATGTACAAATGTATGCACTTCTTATGTATGTATTTTTGATTTAAATGAAATAAAAAAATAAAATGCATTTTGAATGATAAACCATGTTACATATTTAACAAATTTGGAACCGATCCCATTGAATTTGTATGAATTTGTATTAGAATAATTGATTCCTTATACGGCTTTTCGCTTTGCGGCNCTTATGTATGTATTTTTGATTTAAATGAAATAAAAAAATAAAATGCATTTTGAATGATAAACCATGTTACATATTTAACAAATTTGGAACCGATCCCATTGAATTTGTATGAATTTGTATTAGAATAATTGATTCCTTATACGGCTTTTCGCTTTGCGGCTAAGTTTCGTGGAACGTATCTAGGTTGTAAAGCGAGGTATGGGTGTACTGAAATCATAACTTGGAAAATTGCCTAATGTTGTATTAAGACTCAGAGAATATATTCTGTAAGTCTTAATACATTAGATCAATATTATTATTATGTTGGGTTTAGTGGGTTTTACTCGGTTTAAACCGGTGGCTGTGTACTATGCCGGACCAGAGTCAAGGCATAGCAACCAAAACAAATTAAATAAGTGTGTCAGTGTCAGTGTCTGTATTCAGGAATTTCCTAACAATATGACATGTATTCAATATAGTGGCCTTCTGTAGTGTGATGTATGTATTTCTATTCAATTGTAATGTTCCCAGGCTTTTGTGTAGTGTGTGTGGTATCACACCTGTACAGGAGAGTTATTATTATTATTATGAGCTTTCCAGAATTTCTATTTCTTCATCTGGCTTTTGCAAAAACTTTTTGTTTCTTCTGAAATAAATCTCTTATCTCCTGTTTGAGTTTTTCTCTATTCAACTTCCCTTCAAAAATACAGCACAGATGTAGTCTGAGTACTTTGTCAACATTTGTTGAATTGCCATCAAGATTCATCTGATGAATTCATGTCAGATGTGCTTATTTACAATGCCTGTGAAAAATATCTGACAAACATTTAACATCTTAAAATAACATGACTTTTGCATGACTAACTGGCAATTTCTAAAACATCTGACATTTACCTGCCCTATATGACTTGGTAAACAAACACTCTTAATGGATAACATATATCCTCTTCAAAAATAATTCTGGGAAGTGCTAACATTTCCTTATCTGTTCCTTTTATCTGTTCTTTTATTGTAGAGATACTACAATAATCACTTATACCAGCATTGCACAGATCATTGTGATGTTTAACTCATATTTTGAAATTTCAAATGCTAAGTTTTCTCAAAAGTAGTTCCATAAGTTCCCTTTTAACTGTTTAGTCTGTCTTTACTGAATAATAAATGTTTCTATAATATGATAAACATATCCTTAAGAAATTTAAATATCTCAAAGATTTTTTTTCATAGTTTGAGAATATGAAGTATTCAAGATTCTTACTTTTTTCTTATCAATTGTATTAATCACTCTAGAGCAGTGTTTCTCAACAAGAGCAATATCACCCCCATGTGGGCATTTTTCTATGTTCGGAGTGATTAGTAACAATTTATATTTTGGGGGGGTGAAAACAATTTCTAGGTGATATAGTAAAACATTATATTAAAAATAATTGATATATTATTCATTATATCGTACAAAAATTAAACAAATAACATTATACTAGTGACTAGTCTATTCAATGCAATAAGAATTTGGCATTATCCACGGTATCAAAATTTTGAAACTTGCAGTGGGGATTCACAGCAAATAATGCTTAATTTTAATTTTGTTAATTATATCAAAATCTAATACATATTCTGAGTAAATAAATGTCTAATTTTTTACAAAGTATATAATTATCAAACAAACTAATAAACCCAACAAAAGTTTTTTGAAGAGAAGGAAGCGATACTATGTAACAGTTTTATTGAAGGGGGTGACGATTCGTTAGAGGTTGAAAAACACAACACTAGAGCAAGGTTCTTAACTTAGAATCTGTGAAGTTAAATAGAAAAAAAAATTATCTTTATTTTCACTAACCTCTAACTAAAATTTAGCATTTCCTTCAATTATGGTTGTAGACAACAAACCATAGTACTATTAACAGTTTAAAAAATAAAAGGTGGTAAAAATAAAAGGTACAAAAATAATTTTTGTAAGATGGTAAATGTGAAATTTTCACCCAGTGATTCTGTTATTAGTTTGCAGCCGTCGTCGTTTTTTACCGATGCAAAAGTACAAAGCATAACTAAAAAATATGACACGGTAGGTGATTGAAAGAAATGTTTAATAATTTTTATTGTGGAGTAATTTTATAATGATAGAGGTGTGAATTGTCAACAGTCTTAGATTGCACAATGACAAAATGTTACATAAACATAGCAACTTAGTTGCCATACTAAGTTAATTGTGTTTCCCCTAATGATGAGCATGGTTACTTGATAGTGCTTCAGAAAAAACTGTTCTTAAAGCAAAATCCAATAAAGCAGATTATTATTGTTATTTTTAAGAACTTGGAATTGTTTTGGATTTACTTAATTACACATTCATATTTTGTATTTTTTGTATTAATTTTAAAATATTTTTCCTCTATTTTAATCACAACTGTTTAAAACTTTGAATTAAAATTATAATTTAAACATAACCAGCCTCATTTGTAAATTAAAAAATTCTATTCTATTCTGAGCATTTCAGTCATATGTATATGTATTACTTAATGACATTAACATTCAAAAACTCTTCTCCTGACTCTATTCTTATCTGTTTTACCATTCAAGATTTTTTTTTGCAAGTCTGATACTAGATTTTGTAAATGCCAGCATGCAAGTCAAATTTCTAAACCTGAAAAAAATCTCTACAAAATTAGGAGTTTACTTGTACAGTAAGTATGAAATGCTAACCTTTATCACAGAAGTGCTCCTAGCAATTGCCCTGCACCTCTTACCGTAACTCAGCCAGCTATTACAAATATTTCAAACAAAAACTTGTATTTGTGATAAAGTTATTTAGCATAGATACTTGTATTAATATAACAGAATTTCAGTATAAACAAACATGCCACTAAATGTTATTTCTCACAGCTGATTAATTTTTTAATTTAAAGGGAATCAACTTATATAGCAGGTATAAGTTTCAGAATTTTAAGATGAGGTTCACTTATAAACAGGCATTTATGAAATATGAAATAAATTCATATTTCTATATTTACATATGTATATACAGAAACTTAAATTTATTTCATTTACTGTAAATGCCAGTTAATAAGTCAACTTCAAGATTTTCATCTCAATATTTGGTGTAGACATATACATACACTTTTAAGATTATTTGTCTGCTTTATTTACTGCCAAAATTCAAAAGACGTTCCAAATTTAACCAAATTGCTTTATATATACAAATATATATACAAATATTTTTTATAAAAAAAGTTTATATATATAGTGTGAGATATCTATCATTAACTGTAAATTGCATGGTAAATTAATATTTATTTGCAAATATGTTTACAAAAAAACAAACCAATGGTTTTGACAGTCAATGTTTTACATTTAAATAAATTTTTAAATCATTCAGAATAAACTATCCCCATTAAAAATGTAACCTTTTTAATTACTGTTATTTTTTAAATAAAATCTTGTCAAAAAACATTCATGAACTAATTGTAGATATCACATTTTCTTCTTGAAATATTTTGATAAATCTCATTTTTCTTGTAAATTTAATGAAATGTTTTGAAAACATTAAGAAATTTTAACTAGTCTATTTTATGAATATACTTTTAGGATAAAGTCAGTTTTTCTAGTCTCCCAAAATTAGTCAGTTAATTAAAATTTTAAATAAGAAGATTCAATATAACTTCTTATTATTTTAGTCTATATTTTTGCATTTAGAAAAAAACAAATTAGAAATTTAATTTGTTTTAAATGCTTACATCATTTATGGATTGTATACATCTCTCTTATCCAAATAATTGTATACATCTCATCCATATGATAAAAATTCCATTGCTGTAAAAGTTGTTTCTACAAATATTCAATTAATTTATAGATCAGTATAATTTTATATTATATTTACAACAAAATTTCAAAGTATTTATATAATTATAAATTTATCCAATTTCTGCAATCATTTTTAATTTATAATAAATTCATAAATTTATTAAATAAAATGTTTAATTAAACATAACATAAAGTTAATTTCATATTAATATTGAAAAAAAAATTAATACTCCATATATTTAATTAAAAACACCAAGTTTCTTAAAATGTTTCCAGTGAATACACAGTTTCTCTGATAATGTATAAATCTGCAGCCAAGTGCATGTGTTTAATTTTTTAGTCATTTTATTCTATTCAATACTTTTATAGTTAAGTCTAAAGCACAGTTTTATTGATAAATTTTTTTAAAGAAATTTTATCTATTATAACCAAATTTCATTTTTTAGACATTCAGTTTAAATGAAAAATAAATAAAAACATAGCACTTGATTATTACCTCCCAATCCAAATAGTCCATTGCATCTTCAAAGTGGCGCAAAATGGAAACTGACACATGTAACTTAGGAAACTCATCTCTTGTTATGGGGCTAAACCGACTATCCTTGAAAGCACTATAAATACATTGATATTGATTGAAATTCATACTATTTTAATATAAAACTGTAATATAAAACATTAATATTTTTATCTGAATGAAATGTAAAAATAAATTTAACAAAGAAACAATGTAATTTCAAACAAAAACAACAAAAATTTTACTGTTTAGTAAATTTTTCAGTTTACTTTTTTAAGTTATAACGGATAAAAGGATAATCATGGTTACTTGATAGTGCTTCAGACAAAACTGTTCTTAAAGCAAAATCCAATAAAGCAGATTATTATTGTTATTTTTAAGAACTTGGAATTGTTTTGGATTTACTTAATTACACATTCATATTTTGTATTTTTTGTATTAATTTTAAAATATTTTTCCTCTATTTTAATCACAACTGTTTAAAACTTTGAATTAAAATTATAATTTAAACATAACCAGCCTCATTTGTAAATTAAAAAATTCTATTCTATTCTGAGCATTTCAGTCATATGTATATGTATTACTTAATGACATTAACATTCAAAAACTCTTCTCCTGACTCTATTCTTATCTGTTTTACCATTCAAGATTTTTTTTTGCAAGTCTGATACTAGATTTTGTAAATGCCAGCATGCAAGTCAAATTTCTAAACCTGAAAAAAATCTCTACAAAATTAGGAGTTTACTTGTACAGTAAGTATGAAATGCTAACCTTTATCACAGAAGTGCTCCTAGCAATTGCCCTGCACCTCTTACCGTAACTCAGCCAGCTATTACAAATATTTCAAACAAAAACTTGTATTTGTGATAAAGTTATTTAGCATAGATACTTGTATTAATATAACAGAATTTCAGTATAAACAAACATGCCACTAAATGTTATTTCTCACAGCTGATTAATTTTTTAATTTAAAGGGAATCAACTTATATAGCAGGTATAAGTTTCAGAATTTTAAGATGAGGTTCACTTATAAACAGGCATTTATGAAATATGAAATAAATTCATATTTCTATATTTACATATGTATATACAGAAACTTAAATTTATTTCATTTACTGTAAATGCCAGTTAATAAGTCAACTTCAAGATTTTCATCTCAATATTTGGTGTAGACATATACATACACTTTTAAGATTATTTGTCTGCTTTATTTACTGCCAAAATTCAAAAGACGTTCCAAATTTAACCAAATTGCTTTATATATACAGTAATTATAAAAAAAGTTTATATATATAGTGTGAGATATCTATCATTAACTGTAAATTGCATGGTAAATTAATATTTATTTGCAAATATGTTTACAAAAAAACAAACCAATGGTTTTGACAGTCAATGTTTTACATTTAAATAAATTTTTAAATCATTCAGAATAAACTATCCCCATTAAAAATGTAACCTTTTTAATTACTGTTATTTTTTAAATAAAATCTTGTCAAAAAACATTCATGAACTAATTGTAGATATCACATTTTCTTCTTGAAATATTTTGATAAATCTCATTTTTCTTGTAAATTTAATGAAATGTTTTGAAAACATTAAGAAATTTTAACTAGTCTATTTTATGAATATACTTTTAGGATAAAGTCAGTTTTTCTAGTCTCCCAAAATTAGTCAGTTAATTAAAATTTTAAATAAGAAGATTCAATATAACTTCTTATTATTTTAGTCTATATTTTTGCATTTAGAAAAAAACAAATTAGAAATTTAATTTGTTTTAAATGCTTACATCATTTATGGATTGTATACATCTCTCTTATCCAAATAATTGTATACATCTCATCCATATGATAAAAATTCCATTGCTGTAAAAGTTGTTTCTACAAATATTCAATTAATTTATAGATCAGTATAATTTTATATTATATTTACAACAAAATTTCAAAGTATTTATATAATTATAAATTTATCCAATTTCTGCAATCATTTTTAATTTATAATAAATTCATAAATTTATTAAATAAAATGTTTAATTAAACATAACATAAAGTTAATTTCATATTAATATTGAAAAAAAAATTAATACTCCATATATTTAATTAAAAACACCAAGTTTCTTAAAATGTTTCCAGTGAATACACAGTTTCTCTGATAATGTATAAATCTGCAGCCAAGTGCATGTGTTTAATTTTTTAGTCATTTTATTCTATTCAATACTTTTATAGTTAAGTCTAAAGCACAGTTTTATTGATAAATTTTTTTAAAGAAATTTTATCTATTATAACCAAATTTCATTTTTTAGACATTCAGTTTAAATGAAAAATAAATAAAAACATAGCACTTGATTATTACCTCCCAATCCAAATAGTCCATTGCATCTTCAAAGTGGCGCAAAATGGAAACTGACACATGTAACTTAGGAAACTCATCTCTTGTTATGGGGCTAAACCGACTATCCTTGAAAGCACTATAAATACATTGATATTGATTGAAATTCATACTATTTTAATATAAAACTGTAATATAAAACATTAATATTTTTATCTGAATGAAATGTAAAAATAAATTTAACAAAGAAACAATGTAATTTCAAACAAAAACAACAAAAATTTTACTGTTTAGTAAATTTTTCAGTTTACTTTTTTAAGTTATAACGGATAAAAGGATAATCATTTTATGTGCTATGTTTTTTTAATGACAGATGTCATTTAAAATAAATNGATGTAAAAAAAAACTTTTGCAAAGTAAAAATTTATGATAATTTAGACAACAGTCAAAATTTTTCTTAGCAGTTTTTCTTTGGTAAAGATAAGCTTGGCACTTAAATTAAAGGCAAATGTATCTTTACCAAAGGAAAACTCCCAACAAAAATTTTGACTGTCATCTAAATTGTCATAAATTTTTACTTTGAAAAAGTTTTTTTACATCTCAGATATTTTTGTTTGGATATCAATTGTTTTTGTTAAATTATTGTATTATTATGTCGAGACATAAGATTGGTCAGCACTTGGCAACCACAGACTGAATATGTCATTGATCAAATGCATCACCAACACTGACATGTTCGATACGCAGTTTAGAAAAAGTTTGCATTAATTTGAGCTTTTGTAATTCCGAATAATATTTTGAATAAAATTCATTTGTTTCCATGCAATTTTATCCGTATAAACATAAAATTAAGCTGTAAAACTGAATTAGCTCTACGGGGAACTTTGACTTATCGACTTTGAAGTTTTGCAAGCACCTCACTGATGCTTGCAAAATAAACCTCTATACTTAACAAACATCATCACTAAAACCCGATACATTAAGTTTAAAATTTGAGCTTTCTAGAACAGGTAGTTTTTTTTCCCTCTATGAGCATCTGCAGTACTGGATGAAGAAAAAGGAGGAAGAGGAGAAAATACAGCTTTTTTGGCAATTTTTGCACTTTTCAATTGCTTATATTTTTGCAATCACTTTATAGAAAATCTTGAAATTTTGCACATTACCTAAGAAAACAATTTTCTTTCAAACGAGATATTCAGAATTACTTCGTGTTTGGTAGGCAGAGAAATCAATCCTTAAAATCAACAACTTTGATTGTTGTATATAGTCAGTCAGTGACTTTTTATTTGGCGAGGTCACTGCCGTGACTCCTGATAAGAAGCAGTACTTGGGTAATTTTTTCTATGAACTTAACTCTTTTTGACTAAAATTCACATTTACTTTGTTTCAATTTAATGAGATGTTACAATTCATTAAATAAATAATGATTATTACTTATGCAAAATTTAAACTAATTCATTGTAGTTTTAACTATTTTTGCTGATAAATTTTGATTATAAAATTATTTGATGGAAATATTTATTTTGAATATTTAAATATTTATTGAAATAAGTAAATAAACTTTAAAAAAAAAAAGCTATAAATTAACAATTATCAGAAAAATTTGATAAAATGTATAAATAGAAACAGCTATTTAGTTAGCACAATTATACATTTTGTTATATGCTGTTAATTCCCATGTTATCATTCTGGTATTTCAGATGATTGACAAAATATTTGTTTAACATTAATGCACATGAGCACACAAATAATTCAATTCAAAATCAACCATTACTTGTTAGGATTTTAGCCAATAGTGGAGTATTAAAACTATCAAATTAATTTTTCTACAATGTAATATATTAAGACACAACAAAAATAATTCAATAGAAATAAAAGACTTTTTGGTGCTAAAGGATATTTTATTTATGATTTTGTGTGCATATATACATACCAATATATACATAAACAATATTTAACTTTGCATTTTCATTTGAATGATGTACAGAAACTTGTGTTATGGTCTGTAACAATCATCAATACAATCAGAAGTCTTATTTTTATTATGATGTAATAGTATTAAATCGTTTGGATAGTAATTTCATTTCTTTTTCCATAAAAACAAACAATTTTCTTATAATATATAAATAATTTGTTGCATTTTATATTGACCATTTTGATCCAATATTTTTGACATCTTTCTGGTAGTAGCATGATTCCACTTTCATAAAAGTTCTGATCTTTGCTTACCAAAGGTGATCCAAGTGATTTTTGACATTCTCATTTGAAGTAAATATTTTACCATTTAAAAAATTTTGTAAAGACCAGACAAATAATAATCTGCAGATGCCAGATCTGGTGAATATGGTGGGTGTGATAGCACATTCCATTCAAGCTGTAACAGTTTCTGACGAGTTACCAAACTTGTGTGAGGTCTGGCATAACCAATTGTGAAACACTACACCTTTTCTGTTGATCAATTTTGGCCTTTCTGTTTGATGGTATCACTCAATTTATCCAGTTGACAACAGTACACTTTCAAATCAATTGTGGAATTGTCTGGTAGAAGCTTGAAAAAAAACAATTTCCTTAAAATCCCACCAAACAGAGCATCACTTTTTTTGATGAGTATTGGCTTTTGAAGTGTTTTGTGCCGGCTCATCTCTTTTACTCCATGATTGCTTGCAACATTTATAAAACAAAACATCATCACTAAAACCTGATACATTATAAAACTACAAGCAACTAATCCTGTTTATTAGTATTATGAGTGTTATCTAGTCCAATGACATACATCATTAGTTGGCTTGTAGATCAACATTGTTATAAGCAATCCCTTTTTAGACACCAGTTATGATTCACTTCAAAAATGGATCATTTTCTTTGACATCTGTGATTTGCTTCTCAAATGTAATGTGACAGAGCAAATCTCTAAGAACATGTGGAACCCATATGTTGAGCTTTGAAATGAAACCAAGTCATTTTGAGTGATCATAAATGGTTGAATTCAACAAATTTAATCTCTTAGCAATTTTCGTGTTGTTTTTTGGCAGTTTGTTTCAATTAATACCTTTATTTTGTCTTTGTCAGCCTCAACTGGCCTTCCGAACATGGTACATCTTCAATATCGAAATTGCCAGAACAAAATTTTGCAAACCAGTTTTGGCATTGTCATTCTTTCAATATATCATCTCCATACACATCACACAATTTTTTTCTTGCTTGAACAGCATTCTTACCTTTTCAGTAATAAAAGAGCAAAATATGCCAAAAATGCTGCTTTCAATCTTCCATATTTGATGGGGGGAAAAACATTGCAAAGAATCAAACAAAATTTTTACAAATAAGCCTTGTCAGCTGTCAAAATATATAACAACAATACAATTTACAGTAGAGCCTCGATTATCCGACTCAATTGGGGATTGGGGTTGGTCGGATAATTGAAAAATCGGATAACCGAAAAGTATGAAAAAATCCATTATTAGTGTAGTATATTATTATATCCCATGTAATTAGTATATTAGTATATCGCTATTAATCTACTTCGCGTTGAATTTTCATCGATGTTAAGCCTAACAAAAATTTTTTAAAATAATAATCGTCGCTATTGTATCGTTAAAAATTAGAAAATTAAGCCTCGTTTAAATACTGGCTCCCTTTCGTGGTCGAATGAGTGTTGCCAGCTAAAACACGTAAAAATAATATTAAAGTAGCCAAGACATAGCCAAATATTGTAGCGCCACATCACTAGTGGACATTTGAAATTTGCCGACTAGGACGATCGGTTAATCAGGGGTCGGATAATCGAGGCTCTACTGTATAATGAAATGGCAAGGATTTAGGGATTAGTTGTAAAAATACAACTAATCCCTCTGGTGGTAAAAAATGAAATTACTTTCCAAACAACCTAATATATTGGCTCACTATAACAATAAATATATACAAGGTGTGGCTATTAAATAACAAGACTGGTTGCAAAACATGAATTATTATTACAATTGTACAATTTAATTGTTATCCCTTTTAACATATCTCCCTCTATACATTGTTGCATACAAATTTCCCATTGTTGAAAGCAGTGTTGTAAGTCATCAGGTATTATCTGCTTCAGTAGCACTGCTGTTCTCCTTTACCCAATCTACTGTCAATGCAGATTTCAACTCTGGGAAAAGGTAAAAGTCACATGAACTAAGTCTGGCAAGTAAGGCGATCCAACACTGGGATGATATTATTAGACACATTGAGTGGCCAAGAAATTAGAAACTCCCCTTATTTGAAAGTAAATCAGTCCGACAGTGATGTAGAGTGATGTAACAATGCAGAGTTGCTTCTATAAGGTATGCTCAACTTAAGACAATGTAGTTATCATGGAAATTAATGTCAAAATGGATAAGATGAAAGATTTAAGTGACTTTGAACAAGGGATGATTGTCGGTGCAAGAAGAGTGGTATCAGCATCTCTAAAATGACGACTCTTTTAGGATTTTCTTGCCCAACAGTATCTTGGGTGTTTAGAGAGTGGCAGTTAAGAAAAATACTTCAAGCAATATGGATAATTCTGGTTGAAAAAGGCTGGTGAGCGAGAGATGTGAAAGGCGATTAGGACGCAGAGTCTGCAGCAACAGAAGGGCAACAAACATGACAAATTACAGCTGAATTCAATGCAGGTGCATCACACAGCATATCCCAATGCACAACAAAACACACTTTGCAAACAATGGGCTTTAGCAGCAGGAAACCATCAAGAGTGCCTTTGGTATCACAGAAAAATAGGAAAAGGCACCTGTTGTGGGCCCAGGAACGACAAAATTGATCACTTGAGGACTGGAAAAAAGTATTCTGGTCCAATGAATCTTGTTTCTTGCTCCATCATGCAGATGGCAGGATCATAATATGGTGCAAACAGCATGAATTCGTGAACCCCTCCTGCCAAATGACAACTCTTCAGGCGGGTAGTAGAGGAATTATGGTGTGGGGAATATTTTCCTGGAGTTCACTGGGTCCTTTGATATTTGTGGACACATCTCTGAATAGAACAGCTTATCTCAACATCGTTGCCAATCACATATACTTGTTTATGGCTGTAATGTTCCTGATGGAGATGGTCACTTTCAGCAGGACAATGCACCTTGTCACTGTACTCAATTGGTCTCAGGAGCA